AATACAATTAAAAAAAAACTCAGCAGAGTACCAATTTTTTGAGTTTGGCTTACGAATTACCGGTTGTTTTCTCTTTAAAATATTTTGTAATCGGATCATTTTTCATAAATTTTTAACTTGAACTGAAATTTTTAATCGAAAATTAGTGATTTGAATATTTCCTAAAAATATGCATTTTTTATTTGGCTTATTTTAATAAAAAACATTAGATATGCATAGAAAACCTACAATTTTGTTGATATACCTCTTAATAACAAATATGCATTTTGCATATGATCCTTAATTATGAGGATTTTTTAATGTAGTGTGCAATTGTCACTTGTCGCTCAATTCAAATTTAGCGCCCCGCTTTCGGGCATTTCCGTGAAGTCCAAGGCCTCCCGAACGCACTCATCGGGCGTGAAATTGATAAGACGCGTTGTGGTTTTTTTGCGCTTCAAAGCTCTTCCCAGAACGGTGGTAGTGCAAATGGTGCTTTTTGGTATTTCCCATTAATTGTATAAAGTCGTTGTGGGACTCTTCGTGCCCATATCCAGGTGAGTAACGTACCATGGAATGGAATTTTCCATCCAGTTCCACCAATCACATGCCAGCTCAACGACCAATCAGGTGGCAGTTGCGCTTTGACCACAGTTCTTCACTTGTTTGTCGCCATTAGAGGGCATTGATTTAGTGGTTGTGAATGACAAGGTTTACATAATTGTTTTTACCATGCAGGACCAGATCGTGGTCGATGGTACAGTTCCTGGTAGTCCCATCGTGTTGAAGATGAACGATATTCCGCAGCTTTCGTCAGTTGGTGAGTTTTGTAATGGTAAAATGGCGTAATGTTTATGGATTTTGTGTGGTAGGGCTTTTGGAGCTTGCCCATCGCGAGTACCAAGCTGGGGATTACGAAAATGCCGAAAGGCATTGCATGCAGTTATGGAGACAGGATCAGGCGAATACCGGAGTTTTATTGCTTTTATCAAGCATACATTTTCAGTGCAGGCGACTTGATAAATCCGCACATTTCAGCACTTTGGCAATCAAGCAGAATCCACTCTTGGCCGAAGCTTACAGGTAATGAAATTTGGATTCATTGAGAAGAAATCTTCTTTGTAGTTTATTTCAAGCGGAGGGGGTGACCCCTAGCGGATTTTTTTGTTCTAGATCAGAGTAGGCTATGGAAATTTGGCCAGTTGGTAAGACTGTGCCTGAATGACAGTTAAATAGCCTACTTTGATACTTTGAATTGTCATTAAATTAATATTTGTCAAAAGTGACAGGAGAAATCGGATGATTTAAAGGCGTCTCTTTCCAACCAATGCATATTGCATTTACCGTTTTTGTCATTCTTTAATTTTGACCTCATTTGTGGAAAGAGAGCAATGATAGAAATTGTTTATCCGATTAAAGTGGAAGTTTTGTTAGTAACATTTCCGGTTGTTGACAGTTTGATCAGTCATTTTTGGTCACCTTGTATGTTTCAGGAATTTTTTGCATGTCATTAATAAATTTATCAGCAGTCAACTTTTAAACATGGATCGAAGTTTTTTTTATAAAGTAATTAAATAAAATAACGTTGGACATTTTTTTTATGTATAAGTTGGCGATATCATGGGCTTCGTTGACCCAGGTCAACACTGTTTTGGTATCAATTTTATGTTTACTTTAGAATTTATTCACAATTAATGTAATTTACGACTTTAATTGTTTTATCTTTTAACTTATCAGTTTGGTTCATAAGTGTTGACGTGATTTTTCTTGGGCAAAAATAAAGTGAAAAAATAACTTGTTCGATAAGAATTTTTTACGGTTTTGTAGAGTGTCATTTTTACAACTTTCACTTTTTTCGTCTTAATTGTAGAAAGTAAATTTAGTGAGCATAATACGAATAATGAATTTTCTTTCAAAATGCAAAAATTAATTGACAATTAAATCTTAAAATTGCTTGAAATTTTTGGATTTCGCCGTATTTTGGAACTTTTTTGTGCCAATTATGTTATAATTATGTTGCGTGTTTGCGTAGTTTTATGAAAATGTATGACTTTACACACGTGGTTATGAATATGTAATTGTAAATTACATCGAAGCAACAAAAATATTTTTCAACGCCTTTATCAAAAAATATCATTTTCAACCCTTAAAATATCTCTCCTGAGGGAGGAAAAACATTTCGTCCCGCATACATACAGCATACCGGGTGTCCCAAAAAAATAAGTTACAATACAAACTTGTGTTTTTTAAATGAAACACCATTTGTTTCTTAGCGTTTTTGGATGTAGATTTTTATGACAATGTTTTTAAGCTAAACTTTTATTGGTCGATTTTGCTTAGTTTTAAAAATAAGACGATTTTTTTGACGAAAACATGCACTTTTAAAAAAATTTATTACACAAAAACTAAGTCGTTTAGAAATATTTTTTTTTACTACCGCAAAGAAGAAGGTATAAGCTATAAGGTTGTAACATTTTTTAGTGTGTTGCATTTGTAAAGATAAAAAAAATTAAGGCGTTTGTTAGAAGTTCAATAACTTGATTGAGTTTACAAGAGCAAAAAAAATGTTATCTTTGATTTTACGCCAAAACTCCAAAGGAAAAAAAGTTTTTACTTTACTTGAAACCAGCAAATCTGTAATTAATACTTTATTATTCCAACTCAGTAGAAAGAAAAATTTATTTTTCTCTTGATTTTTCTCTGCTTTTTAAGTCTTATCACATTGGTGTTTTTAATTATTTGACAACTAAATGTCACTGACAATTAATTTATTAATTAAATAATGATAGTTCTTGTTAAAAATGACTTGGGTTTTTACTTTAAAGCTGTTTCTTTGAGTTGCTGTTTATTAAAATTATGTTTTTCACAAACATTTTTGTTATTTAACTTGCGTAAACTCATTTGTCAAAGTGACATCATTGTCGAAATAATAAAACCGCCAATGTGGGGCTTAAAAAGCAGAGAAAAATTATTCCAAGTCCAAAATCAAGAGAAAAATGAACTTTTTTTTCTACTGAGTTAGAATAATGAAGTTTTAATTACAGATTTGCTGGTTTCAAGTAAATCAAAAACTTTTTTTCCTTTGCAGTTTTGGCGTAAAGATAAAAAAAAAAATCGTTTTTCGCTTAAACTATTTATTTTTTAGAAAAACTAATTGATGAATGATAAAGTGCTATAAAAATGTGAATAAAATTTTTCGAAATTTTCCTTTTGTTTTCGAGTTCTACAAAAAAAAAAAAATGTTTCAAATGGCAACTCAATATAAAACCATTTTTCTCATGAAAGTTATGATCTAAAGATTACAACTATCTACTTTATATTTTTTTTAATAGTAAATTTTTTCAAATTCTTACATAAATTGCAATTTTGACAAAAAAATCGCATAATTCAAAAACAAAATAAAATTTCGTACTCAAAATACAGAGTGGTTATAAATGATTTTCATCTAGCCAGCTGTGAATTTTCCATGTAAAATAAAAAATGCCGCCTTACGAAAATAGAGGTACCTACTTGTAACTCAAAATTAAAAAATCGCCGTTTACTAAGCGTCCATTTCGAAAATAGACTTCAATTATGAACTTGTCTTCTTCCAAAGTATACATTATTATCAATTATTATTGGAAATTAGTTGAAACAATAAAAATTTAATTAACAACAATTTATTATTAATTAATAAGTGACACTAATGACAGAACTAGAGCTTTCAAAAAAGTAGAGCGGCACAAATAAAGTTACATGCAAAAAAATTCCAAAGCTGGCTAGATGAAAATCATTTATAACCACTCTGTACTATCACATTTTTTATATTACTTTAATTTATATAAATTATTTTCTGGGGGCAAATGGTGAAAAGCCTCATTACTACCCTCCACTTCTCGTCGAGAGAATACATATTTTTTCTCTCTTGGTATACAAATTGCCTTTACATTTCAGTAATTTGGGCAACGTGTACAAGGAAAGAAGCCAGTTGCAGGAAGCACTGGACAATTATCGACATGCAGTCCGTCTCAAACCTGATTTTATTGATGGATATATCAACTTAGCTGCAGCTCTTGTCGCTGCAGGAGATATGGAGCAAGCAGTTCAAGCATACATTACCGCATTGCAGTACAATCCAGTAAGTATACAAAACATTCCATTCAAAATTTGTCTAAATGGTGCATTTTATTCCTTTCTCACAGGATCTCTACTGTGTTCGTAGCGATTTGGGTAACCTCCTAAAAGCATTAGGTCGTTTAGACGAGGCCAAGGTATGTTCAATTATCACCATGTTGTGTTTTATTTATTTCAGAATACTATTTCCATCTACAATTTATTTCAATCTCTAAAAAATAAAAGTTATAAAATTTTACAAGGCACAATTGAGGTTGATATTTTCTCATAGTGCGCGATGCGTAGTTTCACCTTGTGCGTCCTAATGTGAAAAATTATCACATGCGTTTGCGTAATTCCATTTGAAACACACAGTTTTTAGTTATTTTGGCTACTAGCGATTTTCTGATTGAGATGAATGCGTTATTAGTGCAAGCTTACAGGATTTTTCTTCATTTTTAGTTATCACACCTGCGTAGTTTGATACTTTTGACGCAATCATTTTATTTTCTTCTAAATTCTAACAGTTATTAGTTTTAAAAGTAATAATTACCAATGATTTGTTTAGTAAAACTAGTAACTGTTGATTTTCAGGTGCTCTGCGTAGATTTTTTCATTTCTTTCTATTTTTCTTTTTTTCAGTCATTGTTATAGAAAATATCAGCCTACAACAAAATGATTACATAACTTGCAGCTTATCTGTAAATACTGCAAGCATTTTAATTGAACAACAACCTATTATTAGTCACTTCCACGCAATTATTTTTAATCAAAATTCATTTTTTTTTCATAGGTAATAGTTCCAATAACGAGCCAAATTCCAATACAGATTTTTCGTTTATATATTTCTTTAGATATATGTAAATTTGAAATGTGTTGTGGTACCCTATCTTATTTAACTGTACAGGATGTCTCTTATAAGATTTGCCCAATCAATATTTTTGTTTCAAAGTATGGCTTATTTTTTTGTAATGGAAAAAGTACTTTTTTTTTGTTCGCAATTTCTATTGAATAATAATAAACTGTGAATTATATTTTTTTGCTGTAACAGTTTTTTTCTATGGGAGTACTTGTAAATGAAGGTAATTTTTGTATGCATTTTTTACAAAATTGAATTTTTTTGATTTTGAAAATTTGTAGCTTTTTACTTGTTTTTTTTATTTATACCGGGATAATCTCAGCTGAGACATTCTGTATTTTAATTTTGTTGCTTTTATGTTATTTTGATTATCGCAAAAGAGAGTTTCACCAAAATATCGCAATATTTTTTTTCTTAAAAGCTTATTTACATGAACTGGCAGTACTTTAAGGAAAATTAGAACTCAGAAATTAACAATGCTATTTTTATGATTTTTTAATACTATTCTCATTTGATTTTGACTATTTGTGAGCTATCTATTTTAATAATAATAATAATAAAGGTCTTTATTAATAAATTAAAAGTAATACAAAGATGTGGAGGCGAAGTCTAGCTTGAAGATATTCAACTTAACCTCGAAAAAAAATTGATAGAAAAAAAAACAATTATAACATAAAAATAAAAATAATTATTATAAACAATATAAAATTTAAATAAAAATAAATTCAGAAGAAAAAAAGAAACCATTGCCAGTCGCTCAAAAACAAAAAGAAAAAACGAGAAAGAATTCTTTAAGAAGAAATGAAAAAAAAAAATATCCAAAAGTTATCCAACTCAGTTGAATAAATTAATTAATTCGCTCTTTGGTAATACAGGGTGTTCCGTTTTTATTGGTACAAATTTAAACAGGTGATAGGATATTCAATTCTAAGACAAAAGTTTCGTATAAACATGTATTGAAAAATGCTTGGCAAGGGAGCTACACCCCCTGGAAGGGGGCTAATATGTTTTTGCTAATATTTCAGAAACCATTTAAGATAAAATTACAAAATTTGGTACAGATGATAATCTTTATACACCTAAATGAATTCAAACATCAAATGTCGAAATTTTCAATCAGAGACGTACGAAACTGGGGGAGTTTAAGGTAAAAAAATACCCTATTTATTTTGGCTTTAGTTTCTCGGTACTTTCAGCAACAAAATCTTAAGTTTGATAGTTTATCACAGAAAAGTCTCTCTTGTGTCGATACGACTTATTGTTTTTGAATAAAATTAGTTCATTTAAATAATAAAAGCAAGAAATTCATATTTTTTAATCAACCTCAATTAATTAACATTACATTACAGTAACAATAATAACATTAATTAAATGAATTTGCCTAAATCTAGGGGAGTTGTTCAAAGTGACCACCATTTTGGTCAATGCATAACCAATGGAACTAGAACCAAAATAGATAGGGTATTTTTTTACCCTAAACCCCACCAGTTTCGGATCCCCTGATTAGAAATTTCGACATTTGATGTTTGAATTGGTTTAGATGTATAAAGATTATCATCTGTACCAAATTTTGTAATTTTATCTTAAATGGTTTCTGAAATATTAGCAAAAACCTATTGGCCCCCTTTCAAAGGGTGTAGCTCCCTTACCAAGCATTTTTCGATACATGTTTATAGGAAACTTTTTTCTTAGAATTGAATATCCTATCACCTGTTTAAATTTGTAACAATAAAAACGGACCACCCTGTATATTGAGAGTATGAGGCGGTAGGCGTATAAGGAGAAATATATTTTCAGGGGGGTTCATATTTCCTTTGAGTGTCTTTGGATTCATGGAAAAATTGGAACAATTTCTGCTTTTCACACAGCAGTTTTGTTTTAGATTTTCCAGTGTTGGCCACCCGGTGAACATTGTAAATAAGTTGGTTTCTTTTAAGTTTAGGCCCGGTGGGTTTGGTGATTTTCTGTTTGTGGCCTTCATAATTGAGAAATGAGAATGCTGACTAATGGTATTACTGTTGCTGTACAATAATACAGGTATGTGGCTGATGTCCCGTGCGCCTCCCCGGAATCACACTGGTAAAACTATGGGCTTAGTCTCAGGTAATGTACGCAAGCGAACAAGATGTTTCTTTGTTTTTAGGTATTGGAGTGAGGCCTCTCTGTGCGTCAATTGCTTGCTTGCGTAATAATTTTTCTTTTCGATATTTTGGTGCGTAGTTTTCTTATCTGGCGTAAATTTTCACCATAATGTGCGTTCATTGCGTTTTTGGCGATTTTTTTCTCTTTCCCAACCTGTTAGAGAGGCCTCGAAAATATGGGCGCTTGCGATTTACTATAGTTCTTTGTTCTTTTTATTTATTTCGGATTTGTTGTATAGGCGTGTTATTTGAAAGCAATCGAAACTAGACCGGATTTCGCCGTCGCTTGGAGCAATCTTGGGTGCGTTTTTAACGCTCAAGGAGAAATTTGGCTCGCTATACATCATTTTGAAAAAGCTGTCGGTTTGGATCCCAACTTCTTGGATGCCTACATCAATTTGGGCAATGTGTTGAAGGAAGCGCGAATTTTTGACCGGTAAGTAGTGGCAAAAATTCAACATTTCACAAATAAGACTGTAATTTTATTGATATTAAAAACCTACAATGTTTATAGTATATTAATGAACGAGCACATAATGGATGATTTATACACTCGTCCTTGGCTCGTGTATAAACTTTATCCTCGTGAATTATAAACATATTAAGTTGAAAAACTAGAATTACATAAAATAAAGAATATATAATTTTTTTTTATTAAGAGTAAATTAAATAAAATATACATAGATAAAAAAAATATAAATTTATTTTATTAAATCTTTCAATATTGATTTTATCAGAAATTTTTTCGATAACTATTTATTGTAGAACACTGATCTTTTTTTGTTTGATAGAAAATTAAATTTGCTTTCTAACGGTACCAAATATAAGAGGTTATTACCAATGGGTCTAAAGTTATTTGCAGTAGAACGCTCCGGGTGCCAAAAATCGACCAAAAAAATTTCAACAAAAAAATCAAAAATTTTTGATTCTTATGAAAAACTAGTACTGTATGTAAAATTACCGCAGAATACGTCTGTACAAACCATTTTGACCTAGGACACATAATTTTTGAGAAATTAATTTTTTATGAAAAAAACTAAAAAATGTTCAAAAACTTTTTTAACTTTTAACTGATTTTTATTTTTTTTATTTTATAAATTGCGGCAAAACTGTATATCAATGATATGATATTTTGACGTAAACATATGTAAAATGTTCCGGGGAATCGATTGGCGTCAAGAAAACTGCAAAATTCGTAGTAGTTTTGAAATNTATGTAAAATGTTCCGGGGAATCGATTGGCGTCAAGAAAACTGCAAAATTCGTAGTAGTTTTGAAATTATAGTCGAATTTATATTCTTGATATTTTTGAATTTATCAGAAATTTTTTCGATAACTATTTATCGTAGAACACTGATCTTTTTTTATATGATAGAAAATTCAATTTTCTATCTAACGGTACCAAACATAAGAGGTTATTACCATTAAGTCCGGAGTTATTGGCAATAGACCGCTCCGGGTGCCAAAAATCGACTAAAATTTCGACAAATATCAAAAAAAATTCCAACTTTAAAATTGTTAAAATTGAACGTTTTTTATCTTCCTAGAGGTCTTAAAGACTCAAAAAAGTGCATAAAAAATTAAAAATTTCTTGAGTTTTTTAAGGTCAGTGGTTGTAAAATCGTAAAAATTGTGTCTCTCACTCCAATTTACGAGGAAACCTTTTTACTTTATAAATTTTGCGGTTTACCATCGTTTTCTTGTAAAGTGGGTGCCATATTTACACGAAATGTCAACAACTATCATATTGAAGATGAACAAATTTTTTTAAACGTAAATTTAGGCACTTGTGGGCCTTTTGAACCATTTTTCGTTTTTTATTTTAGCTCAATTTTTGCATTTCACCGTTTTTCACTTTTAGAGTGTCCACACAATAATGCCAGAACTGTGATTTATGTAATTTACAATAAAATAATTAAAATTTTAATTAATGATTAAAATGTCTCCGGTTTATCATTTTTTGTTGTAAATATTCGCTATCATTTAAGCTTAGTGTGTTTTTTTATTGGAAACATTTTTTCTCTCATATGAGATAAACGTCTCGTTCCGTTTAGGTCGTCCAGATGTTCACTTTAGCGGAAATTGTCTAAAAAACCGGAGATTTCATGTGTATTTTTAGTAACACAGTAGCATTAACATTGATTGGATTTGAATTTTGTTGTAAAATTGCATGTTTTGGCGTAATATGAAGCTATTTATACGCAAATCGAATGCAGTTTGCGTAACTTGAGATTGAACATGTAGTCAGAAGAGATTTATTTGAAGATTATGTGAAATGGGATTAAAGTTTCGACCATTTGAAACGTTGTTTTAGCACACGGTTTACGTAACTTTACGATTGGATTCAGTTTCAGGACGATATATTCAGGAGTGTCGTTACAAGTAACATGATAGTCGTTTGTAAACGAAAAAAGCAATTTATTTAGTTTTTGTTTCTTTTCCAGAATTCTAAATAAAAATTTTTTTTTTCAGAATTGAATAACTTTTCAAAAACAGAATTTTTGACATGATAAAAAGTCTTAAAAATGTATTGTAAAACTTGTTTAACTCATAAAACTCTAAACCTGTTCGTTATTTTCGCTATTTTCTTTATTTTTAACAGTTCGGTATTGATCTGTTTTTAACAGTTGGCTTTTTTTAACTCAGAAGTTCTGAAGTTGTGAAAAAAAACATAAATAGTTATTTATGTTACAAGTTAGTAAAGAAAATTTGTCGAGCGAAGCAAGTGCGCAAATCCGCTGAGTAAAAAAGGATACTTTACTAAGAGTTGCATACAACATTTTTTTTACATTTGTATCAAAAATCAAGAATTATCTACTTCAAAAACACTTTTTATTTCGAAATGTATCAAAAAACTCAAGTTAGAACTAAATTCCAAAATTAATGCGTTCTAATTTCTGACAAATGTAAGGGCAACTTTTTATGTTTTGCGTAAATATTTTACGTTAAAAATGACGCTACGACATTTTTTTTTATTCAATTGCGTGAAAAATGAACAAAAATCTTACTTTTTTTACGGACGTGAAAAAGAAATGTGAGATGTACTTTTTAAATTGCATTTTTTTACATTATACAGAGTGGTTATAAATGATTTTCATCCAGCCAGCTTTGGAATTTTTTTCCATGTAACTTTATTTGTGCCGCTCTACTTTTTTTGAAAGCTCTAGTTCTGCCATTAGTGTCACTTATTAATTAATAATAAATTGTTGTTAATTGAACTTTTATTGTTTCAACTAATTTCCAATAATAATTGATAATAATGTATACTTAGGAAGAAAACAAGTTTATAATTGAAATCTATTTTCGAAGTGGACGCTTAGTAAACGGCGATTTTTTAATTTTGAGTTAAAACAAGTAGGTAGGTAAAGCGGCATTTTTTATTTTACATGGAAAATTCATAGCTGGCAAGATGAAAATTATTTATAACCACTTTGTATAAACTTGTACTAACGATTTTTTTTAAATTTAATTTTCTTAAGTTGATTTTTATCTTTTAATAATAGCTTTAATGTATGTGATAAAAATTTAATTTTGTTAAGATCACGAAGGGATTTAATGAAGCGAGTTTATTACAGAATTTTATGTCTTTTAGGTGCGATATTAAAAATGAACATTTAGGTACCGTAATTTATCGGAAAAAAAGCTTTAATACCAAATTTAATGAGTTAAAAGTAATTCTAGAGTAAAAATGTTCGATTTTGTTCAATACCTTAGTCAAGAATCAACTTTATAACTCAGTTTTACTGTCAGCTAAAATTGAAAAGAAGGATTATAGAACAAACTTTTTAGGATAACATTGAAAAAATTTATGAAGAAATAAGAGAATTTTTAAACTAATTTATGCACTTGTTAGATAAATAGTACAAACTTTTAACAGCTCAACTTTTGGTCAGTTGCGCCATGAAAATCAATATGTGTTTACGTTATTTGCTCTATTATGTTTGCGACTTTAAAAAGGTTCGTTATTGATTTTGCTCAATACAATATCTGCTCCAAATTCACGTTTATTAATACAAAAAATGGGGAGTTCTAGTTTGCAGATTTATTATTAGAAATAGTGCTAATAAAAGTGTTCAATCGCAAACAAATTAGTTTTATGAAGGAAATAAACTGCACTGAGTGCGTGGAAAAAAAACAGCAGTTATTTACGTCCGATTTTTCCATTGTGTGATAACTAAGGCTCGGATTATATGCAAAATGCATATTTGTTATTAGAATGTACATCAACAAAATTGTGAGTTTTCTATGCATATCTAATGTTTTTTGATTAAAATAAGCCAATTAAAAAATGCATATTTTGGCAACATCGTGCATATTTTGGGAAATAATGCATATTTGTGCATATTTTCTTCAAATCACAAATTTCTGATTAAAAATTTCAGTTCAAGTTAAAAATTGGCCAGTTTATGAAAAATAATCCGATTACAAAATATTTTAAAGAGAAAACAACCGGTAATTCGTAAGCCAAAATAAAAAAATTAGTACCCTGCTGAGTGTTTCTTTTTTAAATTGTATTGAACTAAGCGGTTTTTTTTTAAATCATTTGTTTCCAAAAAATAATAATTAATATAAATTAAAGTAATATAAAAAATTATCTTATTTTAAGAACAAAATTTTGTTTTGTTTTTGAGTTATTCGATTTTTGTTGCCTAAATTGCGATATACAGGGTGTTCGGTCCAAGTCACCCCGGCTGATAACACCTACACTTACTTCTTTTTTTTTCAAAAAGTAAATATTTAAGTAATAATGTTCATTCTTGGCTTTCTTAATAAATGTATCAAATTTTTTTAGCACATCCGATGTTGCCGGAAATGTTACCAAATTAAGTTTTTTAAATGGAACACCTATGTTTTTTTCCTCCAAACAATAACAATTGACATGAAAAATACTGTAAACCACTATTTATTACATTTTTCGTAACACAATGCAATCAAAAAACATCTTAAATCTTAGAATTTTATAAGGAAATTGATGGCGTAGCCCGATTTTTCATTTTAAAGGAAAGGTGTGAATAAAAAAAATGCTTGGATACAGTTTAATTGTTGGTTTGACAAATCTAATTTGTCAGTTGATGAGCGAGTTCTCTTATGGAAACTCTTGGATTTTCTTCGACTGATAACAGAACATTGAGATTCCTATTTTCTTGTTCTTCACAAAGAACCACAGGTTTTTTATTTTTAAGAAGCAAACCTATTCGTCTCAGTTGTTTTTCAATTCGACTAAATTTTCAACGATTTGGGTGAATTCTATTTGAGTATTTTTCTCTATGCTGTCTTTCAGCTTCCGCTCTATTTTTATTGCACTTAAAAAACACAAGAATATTGCTTTTTGCATGAATACCTTGACAAGTAAAATCCGCCTACTTTGCAAAATTTACAATAGAATTCAAAATTTGAAATTGTTTTCCAAGTGCATTATGTATAAAGTAAAATGTAA